CGTAGTGCTGGTGCTACCATATGTTCAATTTTATTTTACCAGAACTATACCTCCAAGGGTCCTCAATGTACTTCAAATTTCGTCTAGCGTCTCACTGTGTGACAAAGAAAGATTAGGAAACCATGCTGTTATCAATCTCTTCTTCATACCCATGTTAAGAGTAGCATTGAATCTGCTATTTCTGGCAGGAACTGGCAGGATGTGATTCTGTATTGGGCAAAGCCATGCAACTGTACAGAAGCATTTGCCAAGTTACTGACCCCAGCTCTTCAGTCATTAACACCTTAGTCTGAATTATTTTCATCGAATGTCAGGGTTACCATCCTGCTGATTCTGACTAAAAACCATGGCACTGATAAACTGGGAGATTTAAATATGGGATAATTTTGAAGCATACAGCAGGACAGGAAAGGCACCGGCGGGGGTGGGGGCGGCGGCAGGCATCAGGGAGGAAAGCATTAAGCACAGAAAGGAAGGAGAAGGTGTGTAGAAAGCAGAGTAAGAGGAGAGCCTTGGAATGAAGGCTTCTACTTAACAATTCTGCCTGGGGCAGCTTTTGTAGTTCTACAGCTTAGGTCTCCTTCCAGGCTTCCCATAAAACTCCCCCAAAGAAATGAAGATCTTCAAAACCAGACAAGATGCAGCTCTATTCCAGAACTCTCTCTGCAAGCATTCCACAAATCTTTAATGCTCTCTGCAATTCTAATGGTTTTGCCACAACCTAATCCACAGAAAATACTAAATTTTCCTCTGTACACCATACAAAATTATACCAAACTGTGAGGGAAACAGGCCCAAATCCCTTTATTTCTTTTCCACCTCCTGCTATGAAACTGCATAGAAAGCCCCTGGGTGCTTTTTGTTGCCTGGTAGCTGAAATGTGCAACTTTTCCAAGTGTTCAAGTAGAATCAAGAGGCCTAGACTCACCACCTCAACAAGGTCCACTCCCAGTTCAGCAGTCCCCGACTCTTAAAGTCACAAAGTTTCAAGTTCCAATAAAATCAAAATACCTTCCTCAGAAATGTGACTACCAACCACTTTTCAACATTTCCAGCTAAGGGGTAAAAAAGAGAAGCAAAGAAAGAAAATAATTTCTTCTTCCTATCACTGTAGCAGTGTTTGATCGCAGGAAGGGGGTGACGGCTCACAGGAATCAGGTACAATCTGACAAAACAACAACAACAACAACAACAACCAGGCAAATGAACAAACAAAAACCCTGGCTGTAAATTACTACATATAATATTTTTTAGTGTTCTCTGCCCCCCCCCATTCTCTTTATGAGTCTTGAGGACAGATGACATTCTGACACAGAAAGTGGTCTCCAAACCTCTCCATTTCCTTTTGCAAAACATGCAAACCAACGCAAGATACTTGAACAGAAAATAGAAAAAAAATTTTTAAATAGCTTGGTAAATGTGCATAGGAAAAAAAAATACATGAAGAGCTGTGTTCATAACTATTCTCATACATGAATATATTTGCAGGAAATGACTAAAATTAAGAAGAATCAAAATAAACACGCCCCGTATTCCCGCTGCTGTGCATTATTACTGATCGACGGCTGGATGATTGTTTATCTCATACGTGAACCTACACTGAATAGCAACTTGAAGAACACCCCCAGACAGCCACCATCTTTACTTTGTACGGGGGTGAGGGGAATGCCCACTAAGGAAGGAGATGGGATGAGAAGGGGTGGGTAGGAATAACACAGTCTTTGAACCACTGTCTCCCCCCTTGCCCTAGTGAACTCTTTGTCTGGTTACTGAACACGTTTGTGAGATCAAGGAAAAGAATCCAAACAAAACAAAAGAGTAGGCATCCCAGCCTAATTACAATAGGTGCCCAGCACACAGTGGTGCCAGCAAAGCCAGAGCGTGGTTTGAATCTTGCGTTCAAGCATTCACTCTCTCGTACCCCCAATGAAACATGTCTCACACAATCTCTTTGCATTGCTCCAAGGTTTCCCCCAAAACGGCCGGCTCTGTGTCACTCCTTAGAAAAGGAGGATGTGAGGCACGAACACACTGAAACATGTTGATGGTGACTTGTTATTATCCGGACAATAACATATACATGGAAATAAAACCCTCCACCCCACACGCCCACTGACCAGTCCATTATGCAAAAGGAGCGCCTTCCAGCTGAAGGGGAAGAGCTCACAGGAAGCGTTATTTACGTGTACATTACAGAACCATATACCACCGCATCTGCATCCTACACAAAGCCCGAGATGGTGCAAGAAGATACACGCTGAGCATGGCACAGACCAGCCGCGGCAACACGGAGCCAAGCCCTCGTCCAATCAGATGCTTGTTAGAAGGTGGACCTCAGGGTCGGCTCTGCCCGATTAGCCTTCCCTATTATGACACCACGCTCTGCCCAACATCCATATCCCACCGGGAGCAAATCTAATTCGCGTGGTTGCTCATTTCTCAAACTGCCGAGCCCTTTCTTTCATCTGCATCCCTGCAATTCGCCCCTTAAAAAGCCACCCCAAGGCCTGGGTGCCCCCTTTCCGGCTCGGTTTTTCTTTTACCTCTTCCCACTCCTAGAAAGGATTAAATGTTTCTTCTCTCTCCAACGCGCAAGCTGGAAAGGCGGAAGGCAAATGCCTCTTCAAGCTCGGGCAAGCGCCCGAGGGGCTGCGAAAAGTAAAAGCAGCAAGCAACGTGGGGGGAAATCGTCGCGGATCGATCGGCCACAATAGTTGAAACCCCAGAAGCGCTCCAACTTACCCAAAATATGACATTGAAGCCAAATATGAAGTATTTGATGCAACAACTGACTTCAGGACCCTTGTAGTGCTTCCCGGACATCCTCTGGGTTCATGAAGACACTTGCCCCGGCAGCCCGAGTTTGGAGCCCGGGAGCACCGTTGCTCAGAGTAGCCCGGAGGGAAGCAGGGGATCGGGGACGCAGCTCCGGGCCGCGCCGCGGCGGCCGGGGCTGAGAGACGCGCGGGGACCGACCGGTGGAGAGCGGCTCCCGCACCTTCAGCCCCCTGCGCGTCGAGGCCGCCGGAGCCGGGGTGGCCGTGAGCTGGCGGAGAAGACGCGCGCTGCAAGCCCCGAGCCTCGCCGAAGCTGGCCTCGAGCCCAAGGCGAGCGCCCGCGTCCGTCCGCCCGGCGATACGTCCGTCCGTCGGCCTCTGAGCTTCGGGCAAACGCGGCCGCGGCAGATGCTGCTGAAGACGCTACTCCCTCGCCCGCCCGCCGGCTCGCGCGCCCTCCCACCCCTCGCTCCGCCCGCGGCTCGCTCCGCCCGCAGCTCCGCCCGCCGCCCGAGCCTCGGCGAGACGCGCGCGCGCGCACGAGCTCGGGCGCTCCCGGGCGGCCGCGGTACCACGTAGCCGCACCGCCTCCCCCTGCCAGCGCTCTCCGCTCCTCCCGCTCCCTTTCTCCCCGCCCCTTCTCCGACCAGCCCGGAGCGCCGCCGACCCCCGAGCGCTGCAGCAGGGTAGGTGGGGAGGATGACAGGCGGAAGGGAAGAGCAGGAGCGCCCGGGGAGCACGCGGATTGGGAGCCGCCGCCGGAGTGACCGGGATTGATGAGCAGTGGGTCCCTCTCCACCACCCGCTGCGGCAGACTGTATCGGGAGGGACGCGGGGGACAGGGTCGCTCGGGGGAGAGAGGGCTGGGTGAGTGCCGATCCCGCGAGCCCCCGCCCCCGGCCGAGCTCCCTTCCGGGTGTAACCGCGCTCACGCCCCCTCCTCCACTATGGGATAGTTACAGGAGAAGACGCGGGGACACTGAGCGGGAGCGGAGAGGGGTCGTAGACTTTGCTGGGAGCAAAGAGGGAAGGTGGGGTGTTGGGGAAAAGGGAGGAATAGAGAGACGGGAAATGGGGGGAGCCCATTGGGAGGGTTGCAAAGGAACGTCTCGGGAATCCAAGTGTGGCTCCAGCCCAACCTCCCCACCTGCCGGAAAAATGAGCTGCATCCCAGAAATGCGGACGAGGAAAGAGACATGGCTCAAAGGAGTCCCGGCCTGGATACGATCCTCGCCCTAGGGTCTGTTGCAATAACAAACAGCAAATGCCCCTCGAGACGAAATAGTGCCGAAGACCTTGACTGGTTCCTAACTCTAAGAAGCAATTCGGAAGAAGTTCCAGGCGGTCTTTTGGGAAATCGGAATTACTATTATACATCATAAACCATTAAGGTGTGACCTCTGGGGAAGGATAGAACGAGTGGCTGGAAACTCTTTGAGAGCGCTACCTGATAACGTGTTCCCATTGGTTGCATATCCGACCTCCTCCTCGAAGCATTTTCAGAGGTGCTGGCGAGCGGGTACCAGTATCTCATGGCAGAAGAATGAACAGCTCAGAACTCTGTGTAAATGTCTATGGGCTGTTTTTTGTTTGTTTGTTTGTTTGTTTGTTTGTTTCCAGGCTTCAGAAAGAGTTGAGATCCGGAAAATTTTCTAGCACCACCCCTGTAACCTGGAACCCGACACAGAAATGTGCGTGTTTCCTAAATTCCCCCAGATGATACTTCGTACGCTTACGTTTGAGAACCTTTTGCATAGGGTTTCTCTGGTTACCCACCTCTCACTTTTCTTAAAAACTAAGCTAGCTAGTTGACAGCCTATAATCCAGTTTTGGAGGGGTGAGAAGTTACTTTTTCTTGCAATAAACCACCACCCATTGAGATATGCTTGGCCTTGAGAGGCATGGAAGCTATATTGAGGTCCCCAGGGACCCACAGAGGTGGAAGCGTCAGGAGATCCTCTCCATTCAGTACCACAGAACTATGATACTGGCTAACAAGGATTTCTGCCCTTCGGAGGATAGAACCACTCCCCTCACCCCCAAGTGGCCTCCACCGGCCCAAAGCACACAGCACACTAACCACCAGTCTAGAAGGCTTAAAAGGTCTGCCATTCCCTACTATCAGGAAAGGACATACAAGTTTTACCCTAACCTATTCCTGCCATATTGTAAATCTTGCTATATATAAATAGAACAGTCCCTACAGATTCCTGGGTAAGTCAGAGGTAAGGTCTGCCTTAAGCAAAGGTGACGCAATCCAGAAAAGGACTGGAAATTAGATCCAGTTAGATCCAAATGACTGAGTTGATCTCTAAGCAGGATGTATCTTTGAAATAAAAATCAGCAGAGAAGGAAAAGTTCAGATAACTCATCAGTTATGCGGGAGGTGGGGAGGGCCTAGTTTAAGTCCCATTTCCTATGTCAAAAGTAAGTTCTAGGGGTATTTATGAATTAAACACAGTAACAGAAGAAAACGGTATTTGTTAAACCTCTAACTAGAAGTATTTCTCAACGTCGAAGCAAGAGAAGGAAGTGATGTGGATATGACTGACCTGACCAGTAACCAAAGAAATAGATATTAAAACAAATTAATGATAAAGGTATGAAGATAAGGGGCACTGGCTTCCTCACTCATTGCAGGTGTCGTATTGAAAGGATATCACCCATTCGGAAAGCATTTTGGCTCTGTGTCCCAGGTCAGGGTGTGCCTACATTTTGACTCAGCAGTCCCACTTCTGGGAATCTAGCCAAAGAAATACTCCAAAATGTGGAAAAAGTTACATACTGCAATTTGTACATCATACCATTATTTTTATTGAAGATTTGGCCGCAGCTTAAAGATCCTGGAGCAGGGACTATACATGCAGTCACCTGGATGGGGACCACAATACCGCCTCATTTTTCTCTGTGCACTGAGGCAGGCATTGCTTTCACTGCCTGAAGCACTCTCTTTGCCCTTTGTCTATGAGCTGAGCTGATGACTCTTATTCATCCTCAACACTTTTTTTAAACTCCAGTATAGTTAACATACAGTGTTATATTAGCTTCAGGTGTATAATAAGTGATTGAACAACTCTACACATGATTTAGTGCTCATCACCGGTAAGTGTGCTCTGATCCCCTTCACCTGTTTCACCCATCCAGCATTTTCAAGGTTCCTTCTTTTTGTTCCCTCAGTACCTCCTACATTCTTGCATTTTGCACTGGGAAACTACCTGTAATTACTTGTTTCCTTGCCTGTCTCCTCCACTCTGCTGTGACTCCTTCAAGGGTGTGCCCCATCTCCTTTTAATCTTAGAATCACTAGCACCTTGCTAATGTGGCAGGTGCTTGATAAATATTTTTTAAACAAATGGATGAATCATTTACTCAAACCTTTTATAACCATTAGGGATGATGATTATAAAGAGTATGTGGCAATGTGAATACATTATGTTAGATTTCAAGGGCACTGTATATGGAATTATCTCAAAGTAATGTTACATGAAAAAGGTGCAAAACAGCATGCACAGTAGGTTACCATTTTGTTAAAAAAAATCATGTTGGAAAAGGAGACTGGAAGATTTGTATATACATATATTTCCTTGTTAATGGGTAGGTTATCTATGGAAGAAAATAAAAGAAACTCAGAAACTGCTAATAGATGTTACGAATGGGATTGGGGAGCAGACTGGAAAACCAAAAGATATATTGGGAAAGAGACTTGCTTTTTTTTTTTTAAATAAACCCTTTTGTTTGTTTTTGAAATGTGTACAATGTACACGATATAATTGTTTTGAAAAATAAACGACTTTATGAAATTTTATGTAATTAGATGAAATAAGGTGGGAGTCAGTTCTCACCAAATAACAGATATGGCTGTGGGATTGTCATGTGTTGTGTGGTTGTGTGATTTTGCTTTCATGTTTCTGGTTTCTAACTTTTCTTAATGTTTTGCTTTTATAATTGCAAAGATAAGATTATAAATAAACACTTGCTTATAAGTCTTTATAAGCCTGGGTGGCTCAGTCGCTTAAGCCGCTGCCTTCAGCCCACATAATGGGCTGATCCCTGGAAGGGTGCAGGGATGGAGTCCACATCAGGCTCCTTACTCAGTGGGGAGCCTGCTTCTCTCTCTGCCTCTGCCTGCCACTCTGCCTGCTTGTGCGCTCGCTTGCTCTATCTGACAAATAAATAAATAAAATATTTAAATAAATAACTAAATAAAGACTAAACAACTAAGTAATCATTGTATTTATTTCATCACAACTTTTTCACATCTCAGTAAATTTTGATCTTAAGAAAAGAAAGAGGGACGCCTGGGTGGCTCAGTTGGTTGGACGACTGCCTTCGGCTCAGGTCATGATCCCGGAGTCCAGGGATCGAGTCCCACATCGGGCTCCCAGCTCCATGGGGAGTCTGCTTCTCCCTCTGATCTTCTCCTCGCTCATGTTCTCTCTCACTGTCTCTCTCTCAAATAAATAAATAAAATCTTTTAAAAAGAAAAAAAAGAAAAGAAAGAGAATAATTTTCTCCCCAGAGGCTGCTATGGCCATCTCTTATATAATTCTGAAGTTGAAGTTGAAAATGGTTAATAAGTTTAATTACCAAAATGTTCATCAGCCTTTCAAATGGCAGTGAGAACAAGTAAAGCATGTTCTTCTAATAGTTGTATAGCTGAACAGCAAGATACGACAACAACATTTTATCAGATTAAGACACCAGATTTAATGAGCTTGTCTGTTTTACTCTTCTGTCCACCTTTTGCCTCCCTCCTCTTTCTCTTTTTACTCTCTGTCTCTCTGCTCCTCTAGTCCTTTCTTTTCCTTCTGTGCAGCCAGCATTGCTGGTTACCTCCCCTCACCCATTGCCTCCTTCCACTCAGAACCTGAGTAGTGTTCCAGTGTCCCCCCTCTTTCAACATTCATATGCTCCAGAAAGACCAGGACCCCGCTAGGCTCCAAGGGGTATCTTGACCTTCTAAGCCAAACTTGGCTCTTGCCAGTGTTTGGTTCAGAAATGAGCTGTGACACAATTCTGGCCAATGAGACAGGAGGAGAATCTGCTGAGAGGTACCTCACATCTAAGAGATGGTGTCTTTTTGGCCTTGGATTTAATTGTGTTTGGATACAACACCTGGATCACATATAACCTAACAGTAAAGACTGTACAAGGATAGCAGAGTGAGAAAAACTGAAGAGAACCTAGGTCTTCATGACTTTGTGGCATGGCTGACTTAAGCCTACCTCAGGACTTCCTGTCATAGGAGAGACTTGCTTGGTTACGGCCCTGTGAGAGGGGTTTTCAGTTTCAGGCAGCTGAGAGTACCCTGACTTTAACACTCTCCTCTGAGCTTCTCTCCTGCCCTTGGATTTTCTCTTCCTAAATCATCCCCAGCCTTTCCATATTTCCCTCATAACACTCATTTTCTATTTTTCCCTCCCCTCTCCTCTCTTCCCCAACTGTTCCCATCTCAAATAACACAGGGCACACCTTCAGCCTTTCTCCACCACAAAGCACTTCCCCACCTCCAGCCATGTTTGGACTTCACAGTGAATGGGAGCGTGTAGATCCCTCCTGGCCTGCCTGAGAGTCTGTCTCCTTCGAGGGGATTCAGTAACAAAAGGATCCCTTCATGTGACTGAAATGGCAGTGATGTATTTAGGAGAGTTGGAGGGAGGAAGCCAAACTCTCTCTCTCTTCTCTCTCTCTGTCTGTCTGCAGAAAGAGGAAGGAAGCATAAACGCTGAGAGAAACAGCAGTCTCGGACAGCGTGGGCCACGTGATTGGTTGTGCATTTTGTCCTCTGAAAGGCTTCCCGCCCTGCTAAAGGCTTTTCTACTTCTGGAGTTCTTCAAGTGGACCTTGTGTTTGAGGTTTATGAGATTTTTTTTAGATAGAATCCTTCCATCTCATCCCATTTTGGCTTTAGCTTGGTGGAAATGGGCTCCTTAGATTTGCAAATCAAAGAACCTTGATTAGACAATGGGTCATCCCACCACAAATCCATTGTGAAATGAGTTCAACTTGAAATTTTTTTTTTAATAAGCCATAATAGAAAATTAAAACGTATTTTCATTATACTTAATGGATTAACTGTTGTGCTTGCTTTGGTTGAAAATGTTACATTAAATTAAAATGTTATATTTTTCTGTGAACAATTGCACCCCCAGGAACAGTACCAGCCCCACACCCCTCTCACCCTATACCCACACATACCATTAAAGAAGATTAGCTTTCAGAGCCCCAGGAAGATGGAAAAAGAAAGTACATTTGTCTCAAAAATGTGATTAAACAAGTATATGTAGAACACAATTGTTTCACTTTTTAAAATCAACTAATAACTGCTTGTACAGTTAGATTCTTTTACAAAACAGGACAGAACAGGCATCAATTTGATTTTTCCTTCTTTTGCAAATACCACCTCAATTTCCTCCTGCTTTAGAAAGAGTCGCTTAAGCCTGTGAATCAAGGTGCCACGCCCTTCCTTCACGTTCAAAGGGAGCAAATATGAGGAAGCTACATTTTGACACACTAAACCACCTGGAATGCATGGACATGAACCCAGGAAGCCCTTCAGACCTTTGGGATCTTCCTGCTTCTTCCACCCTCCTTCTGCTCCCATAGCTAATTTCTTTCTTCCCAGGAAATTTTCTTCCTGATTAAATTATTCAGTGCTCATTTCTATGGCTTAGACCCAAAAAAAGTCTTAATAATACTCTGTGACCTCTTAAAACTGAACTTTCCAGAGAAAAACATCAACTTCTGATTTCAAAAATAACATTCTTTTTTTTTTTTTTTTAAGATTTTATTTATTTATTTGACAGACAGAGATCACAAGTAGGCAGAGAGGCAGGCAGAGAGAGAGGAGGAAGCAGGCTCCCCGCCAAGCAGAGAGCCCGATGCGGGGCTCGATCCCAGGACTCTGGGATCATGACCTGAGCTGAAGGCAGCGGCTTAACCCACTGAGCCACCCAGGCACCCCTCAAAAATAACATTCTTATTACACAATATTTAGAAAACATTTTTAAAGACTCACTCATGACAACATTTCCAAGGAAAACTATTGTCAATATTTTGATATATTTTCTTCATTAACAAATATTTTTATGTGATTGATCTCATTCTGCAGAGAAAAAACACAAACCTATTATATCTTCCATTTCCAGTGCCCAAAAATAGTGCCAAGAAATCCTCTCTCAGAACAGAGGCAAGGCCATCTCAATTTCCAGGCTGTGGTTTTCAGTCAAGATTCTAACCTCATCACCCCATATCTCTAGCCCTTGAGTGTTTTCCTTTTCTACCAGCCATCAGTCTGTGTTTCCATTCTTACAAGGCAAACATGTTTTCATGTTCCCTTACATTTCTAAGTCACTCCCAACTCCAAAGGATCTCAAAAGGCCATTCCCATCACACGAAACCAACCTCACCCTTCCATCCATCACCAGATCAAATTATTTTGCAGTTAAGCATAATTCAACTCCTTATGAAATCTGCCCCCATTTAACGCTAGGCATGCATATCCAGTAATTGCCTCTTTCACCATTCAGGTTTTTCTTTGCTTCTAAAAACTCTGCTTCTGTGAGACACCCCTATCCAGTGAATCTATAATGGGTGGAACATTGAACTTAATGTTCAGAAACAGGAAGCAGATACTCACAGATTCATCAGATATCTATTTAGGTTTTATTATGCAGGATCAATTGATTCAACCACAAATATTTATTGAGTGCATCTCCTGTTAAAGCACATGGCGACTAAAGTACACCTGGAAGAAATAGACAAACAGAGGTAAGAACTCAGGTCAGGGGCGCCTGGGTGGCTCAGTCAGGTAAGTGGCTGCCTTCAGCTAGGGTCATGATCCCAGAGTCCTGGGAGCAAGCCCCACGTCGAGCTTCCTCCTCAGTGGGGAGTCTGCTTCTC